TATCTGATTGGTACTCATTTCTTTGGGAACAGACAAAGATCGTTCATTCATATTAGACAAAGAACTTGTTCGTTCGTTGAATGACCGTTCTTTCTTTCAATACTTCTGTTCGACGAAATCACTTCTTCTTTCTTTATCAAAATAAAAAACTTTGTTTTTTTCAAGATTTTATTTTATGATAAAAATAGTTTAATTTATTTAAAATCATGCTTCAACATTTATCAGCTACTAGTCCTTATGTTTGGTTCGTTACAGATGTTTTCATTTTCTCTGTTTTATTAATCGTTTTTATATTCTAGTGATTTAAGTCGTGGGCCTATTGAACCAGCAAATCGTATGGCCTCAACACCCACCAACAAAATAAATATTTTACTTGAACAAAAAGATAGTTTTCCGAAAGTAATTCATGAAATGAATTTCATCATTCGAATTTTTCAATTTTTTTTTTCCATTAGACACGTACACCTCTTAAACTTCTTGGACCGGATGAAATACCAATCGATATTACTATAACAACAAATGATATTAATGCAAGTCTTCAACCTGTATGGTATACAGAACAAACTATTGTTGATGATCACCACGTACAACAAGAAGATAATACATCAACAATTCAAGAAAAATCTCGAACAACCTTAACACGTGCAACATTACCACCAATACAAAGTGAAAGTCCATCAATAAGTGAAGATGATGAACTTCCATCAAATCAACCATCATTAATGCATAAATCATTAACATTTACTATTGAACCATCGATAAATGTTGATTCACAATCAGATGATTTAGAAAAAGAAAATCTTAATACTGATGATAACAAACCGTCAATCGCAGCAGCCCCATCTGATGAATCATTTCGTGCACTTGAACATCTCTTAGGTCTTGGTTCATCAACAACTATTCGTGAATCACCTAAACCAAATCATGATACACTTTCATTAACTGTTGTTACACCAACTGATATTATTAATTCAACAACAACATCATTACGTATGAGTTATGCACCAAAAACTACAACAGATAATTTACCATTATCACAAGATATTCCAATTATGCCAATTATTGAAAGTATAAATTCAACAAATCCACCATCATTTCTTATGGATAACACTGCAAATGAAGAGGAACAAGCATCAACAACAATAAATCAACAAGATTCATTTGATAATATTGAAAATAAAACAAATACAGATGATGAAACAGATTTTTCATTTGAATTAAATGATTTTTCGAATAATTCAAAACCTGAATCAATCGTTAATGTTCCTGAACCACCAAGTCAACCAATGATTACAATTCGTGCACCAACATGTGCTGATGTTGCTTATCGCGCTTTAATTAAACCACGATCAAGTGCTAGAATATCTCAACCAGTTAAAGTTGATTCACCATTAGCAACATCAAGTAAAACAAAAATTTCCTTTTCTTTACTTTCATAAAAACAAATCTCTTTCTAGTTAAACCTCGTTCATCAGCTCCAGCATCACGTATTCTTCGTTCAAGCTGTCGTCGTATATCTACTGATTCTTCATCACAAAATTCAATCGTTCAAGGTAATTATTCAATAAGTATAAGAGTCTGAAAGATGCTTGTCTAACAGCAGTCAAACATCGTACATCAAAAATATCTTGTTATAATATGTGAAATGCTTTCTTATTGCATTTCTTGATAAGAATAATGACGAAATATGTTTCAAAATAGATGGATTAAAACAAACTCCTTGTAATCAGCAAAAGCAGCTATATTGTATTTTATCTTTAAGTTTCGCAAGAATTGTACTAACAATTTTATTTTCTAGAACAATCACCAGCAAACAACGAATGTTTTGTGAATAATGAAAATGGAACAAATACTGAAAAACAAAATGAATTTGTAGAAATTGTTAGTGTACTTGAAGAAGATGAAAATGAACAAGAAAAAACAAATTCAATTACATTAAATCTTACTTCATCAAAATCAACTGATGAAATTAATCAAAATATGTCTAATCAAATGGAACAAATTTCTACACCAATTAAATCATTAATGCCACTATTATCACGTGAATATACATATAATACACCAAAACGTCGTCAATCACAACGTCGTCGTTCAATGTTAAATTCTTCATCGAATTCATCAATGCTCACTGACCAAACAACTATAAATGAAGAAGAATCTAAATCACCAACAATACCATCAAAATCAATGTTAAATATTCTTTTAACAAATACAACTGAATCTGAACAAAAATCATTAACAAATATACAAACACTTTCACCTGTTCAATCAACAACAAAATCTCCATCAGTTACATCAAAATCAATGTTAGGCATTCTTTTAACAAATCCAACTGATATTGAACAAAGTGTTTTACAAGAAACATCAATAAGACCATTAAATCGTGTATCAACACGTAAAAGTAAACGTTTATCAACAAATTTAACACCAAGAGTTAGTATTAATCCACTTCATTCATCAACACCATCAACAACAAAACGACATAAATCTTTACAAATGGTTTCAATTGGAGAACAAGAACAAGTTTTAACAACTGTTCCACAACAAATTAATAACGATGATCAAGAAATTGAAATAATACCACTTAATAAAACTGAAGAAAGTATTCAACAAACAACAACTCCTCGTACAATTGATACTAGTGTTCAAACAACGCCAAGTCTTAATACATCATCACGTCGTTATTTAAATACAATTGAACAACAAACAACACCAATTGTTCAAATAAATAAATCAAAATCAAGTATTATTATTCATGAACAACAACAACAACAAATATCATCAATGCAAACAGAAATGGTTATGAGCTTACAACGTAATGTACGTTTTCAATTAACACCAACAACTGATGCACGTTTAGTTGAAAAAGAAAAACTTGAAGAAACTTTACGTGGTTTAAAACCAGATATTATCATTAATCCAATACCAATTATAACTCTACCAAAACAAGAAACTGTTAAATCAGTTAAATCTATTCGAACGAAAAAAAATTCGAAAGCAAATAAAAAAGTAGTTACAATGAAAAAGAAAAAAGTCATATCAGTAAGTTTTAGATTTTCTTTTTCTAATCATATAATCTTCTTTTTCTATTTAGAATAAGAAATCACAAGTGAAAAAACCTTTAAAACGACTTTCACCAACAAAAGTTTTAAAGAAAAAACCTGAAAGTACTCGAACAAAAAAACGTTCTCAACGAAAACGACTTAATCTTGAAGTTACAATTGAACCAGCTGCTAAACGTACTAAAACTTCAAAACCCATTCAAAGTAAGTGTTTAACATATAAACCTTCAGTTATCTCACCTACTATTCTATTTAGTTCCTTTACCATCATTGACTCCACCAAAAACACGAACTGCTTTAACAAATAATAAAAAACATAAGTCTGAATCAGTTGAACGACATGCTAAACCACCAACTGTTCCAAAACCTAATAAACAAAACAAATCTGAACAAAAACGACGTGCTTTGAAAAACAATAAGACTGAATTAGTTAAACAAGAACAACCAAAAGCTTTAACAAACAATAATACTAATAAACGTGAATTAATGAAACGACAACGAAGTACTTCTGCTAAGAATAAAGCTCAATCAAGTGCTTCTGAAAACAATAAGCCTGAACCGATTAAACAAAAACGAAATGCCATGAAGAAGAATGCATCAGAATTCAGTACTCGGGAAAATAAGAAGCCTGAACCGATTGAACAAAAACAACATATTTCGGAAAAGAATAAAGCCGAACCTATTAAACAAACACGAAGTGCTTCGAAACAGAAAAAAGCAGAAGCAAGTGCATCGGAAAATAAACCTAAACCAATCGAACAAAAACGACGTGCTTCGAAGAAGACTACAACTGCATCAAGTTCTTTGGAAAAGAACAAATCGAAACCAGTTAAACTAACACGAGCTGCCTCGAAAAACAAGAAATCTGAACCAATTGAACGACCAGTAGAAATAACTGTTGAACCAAAAATTACTGAATTAATAATTAAAACAAGAAAACGTCGATTGGAAAGTGTTGAAAAAAATGAAGCATCGAAAAAGAAAGTTGAAATTCAAAACATTGAAGTAAATCAAGATGAACGACAAAAGGTAAAAAAATTTCTTTTTCTTATAAATTTAATATTGAATTTATTTATAATGATTAGATGGAAGAATTAACTGTTGCTGAACTTAAATCTCGATTAAATAACCATAAAGAAGATATACCAAAACGTGCGAAGAAAGCTGATCTTATCGCTTTACTTATGAAAATAGATACGAATTTACTTAAACGTAAGTTGTTATTAAAATAAAAATATTGTTTTCATTTGCTTGTCTTTGATAGAACGAAAAGAAGTTGAAGCACCAATTGTTAAGTCAACCCGCCGCCGCCACAAGAAATAAATTTCTTGTTTAATAGTTCAATTTATTTTTTATTATATTATTGCATTTCGTTATTGTTAATATTTGATTATTTACTCTAGATGTTTGTTTTGTATATTTTGTATAGATATTCATGTAAATTCTATTGAGCTTGAGTTCATAACTTGTTTGTCTATCTATATTAGATTTAGTGTTGTTGCTTATCTTGATTGAAAAAAAAATCTCAATAATATTGTAGTTATATTTTCTTTTTTTTTCGTTGTTGTCCTATGTGTTCTCGTATGTTTGAATATCGTCTTAGTTTTCTGAAAATAATGTATTATTATACATGACATGATTTAATAAATTTAGCTCAACTATGGGCTAGAACAAAAATAAAAAACGATTGATATTTACGTTCTGTTTTGTTGATAATAAGAAAGGATACGGATTGATAACTGTTGAAATTAGACTCTTCGAGAAATTTCATTGCTTTTATATTAAAAACTTGCGTAAGGTATCTAAACATGAGCTCTGATACAATTAGTCATATTACATTTATTAGTGCTATTTACAGCTTGATTAAGGCAGTTGATGATAGTCACATGTAAATTGAACGTGACTGTTGATCATAATCAGCTCTTGTTATACACCTATCTCATGAGCAACAGGGTTATTGTCATATGGTTTTATAGCACTTTTTTATAGGTTCAAAATGATATAAAAAATTGAAGAAAAAAACACTGATCAGTCAAAGAAATTCCGATGACATTATCGATAAGAAAATTACAAGTTCGGCGAAAAAATTATATTATATTGTGAATCAGCATCCAAATTTAAGTTCACTTGCTAGTACTTCAAAGTGAAAAATTCATCCCTAGATTCTTCTAGAGTTGCGTGAAACAAAAAATTTCATGAAAATTCTGTTTTTATTCATTATCCATCTTCTACTAGTAGTTCAAAATGTGATGTTGATTCAAAGTGCTATATTAGTGTCTAGCCAAGTCATAATTTCCTTATCACAATCTACTGAGTATCAGTGAAAAATAGACTCAAAATTTTGTCTTGAAAATAGTATTCTGGGCAATTCTTTGAGTGAGTAGTACTTGTTTCTCGATGTGTTCATACCAATTTCTAACTCTTGAAAAGCACTATTGCACTATATAATGACGGTTATTGACTATTTCAATCAACCTATGTTCAGTTCAAATAAGGACTATGTAACTGAATCTACCAGAACTCACTTTCGGTTCGGTATAGAAGAAATCAAATTTCTTGAGATGGTCTATTTCAATAGTTAGTGACAATCCTCCTTTTCAGTTTAGTTAACAATTGATTTATTTTGATCTTTAGATACTACTCTCTGATGATAAATTTTCATTAAAAAAATATTTATCTCGAAACGTCATAAAGAATGTCTCTTTTTCTGTTGACTAAAGATAGTAATTCTTTTCTTTTGTGTCTTAAGTATAAACAACAATATGGTAAAATCTTCGTTTTTTCATTCAGCTATGTTTGTAGTTCATGTTGATATAGTAAAGGCTTTTGAAATACACTGTGAATATTCAACAACATTTTCATTTTTGCGACTGTGATTCACAAATCAACACAACAGAGAAAAGTCAGCAAGCTCAGAAAGAACTTCATTCAGTTATTAATCAATTTTAATAGTACACTTTGGTTCTTTTAAAATAAAGGATCAGAACACTGAGCATGCAAAAAACAAAAGTGAAAGTAAATATGTCATCAATTCAAAGATCAATCATTGTATATGGATATAAGCTAGTAATGAGAAAGTTGAATTTAGTTTGTTTAATATTGCAGTACATTCAACGAAAAAGTATGATTGAATAAGAAAAATGTATTACTGTTGATTTGCTATACTTTCATCCATCATTGGAGAAAAGTTTAGAAAATAATTCACTGTAGAAAAAAATTTGTATTTATTAATTCGAGTAAAAAAATGTTTCTCTTGTAGTAATGAGAGTATAAACTTGGTACAAAGCTACTATTAATTGCTGATTAATAGAAATTATTATGATATGTCGTCTTTTTGAGTATTAAGCCGATCGATTTCTCTTTCATTTTTTCTGAATGTTTTAGTGAAAAAGAGAAAACATTTGTAATTTATATAATAGAATTAATGGAAATTCTTGGTTTAAAGAAGATCAAAATGAAGTATGTGATAAGTCCTAATTAAACATAGCTACAGCAAAATATCGTAAGACATTAGGTTTGCATGAAGAACATTTGCCTTTTGATCAATCCAGTATAACACCATGCTTTTGCTAAGATTGATCAGATTTAGGGTAGTTGGCGAACAAAAACAAACAGTAAAGCGCTAGAGAAAAACGAAAATTTTTCAAAATCGAAGGATTAATTTCTCGCTTGGAATACGTTTGACTATCTTAGGATTCGAATGGAATCTAAATTGATAAAGATCTGCAATACGTTGCACCAAAGATTTAATAATTCTGATCATGTATCGGTGAATTTGTGAAAAAAAGAATCAGATTTGACTAAATTAAATAATTTTTTCTCAATATTTAAAAAATAATTATCGGATTTGATGCCATGTTTTCTTTGTCAATATTTCTAAAGAACAGACAACGAAAAAAAAAATTAAAAAAATTTGATTCGATCATATCAAACAAAGACTCCAAGGTATATTTTAAAATGTGACGCTAACTGATAAACCTCCGTTTTCCTTCCTTCGATATTGACTCCATCAGAGGTCACTAATGAGCACATATCCTCATAAGAATTGATTGGTTCTTTTATCCCGACATAGTTTTATTTTCGCTTGCTTGTCTTCGTCGTCTTACCTCTGTCTGATCAAGTATATATCAATTAGTCAATGGATTAAAATTAACTTTTTTTTGTAAATGTTTCTATATTTTACTTTTTTTAGATTGCCAAATATTGTAATATCGTGTTTAATTACTATTGAATAAAAGTGAGTCATGAATTTTTTATTATTTTTTAAATCATTTGTTATTCTTTATCTAGATGGATACATCAAGTTATACTGGTTTACCAAATAAACTTTTTCAAGGTTTAACATCAGTTAAATCAACATTAACAACTGGTCATATTCTTGAAAAATCCGAAAAAACATTTATTGAAAAAAATGATAGATTTCATCATCATATGGCACGTAGTGTTTTAGGTATTCAAGCGCCATTAAAATTACAAACAGAATTACAAATAGCTAATAAACTTGGTCGTCTTCCATGTTTACCAAGTTCACGTTTAATGGTTGATGTATTACGTGGTACAAATGAAGATATTTCATTTGATGATATATTAAATAATCCATATGAATTTGGTGAACGTCAAGTAGATCCACATTTAGCTATGGATAAACAAGATCAATTATTTTAAAAGAAAAAATAATGAAAAACTGATTAAACCAGAATCGAAGTTTTTTTTTATAAAATAAAAAACAAAACGTTAAAACGTGTTTTTTTTTTCGCTTTCTTTTTGTTCTTGTAGATATGTATGATTAAAAATTAAATTATGCCAAAACATTTAAAAAAAGGTGAAAAATTATTTTTTTATGAAAAAGTTTTTTTTTTATAGAAAATAATATGTTTATATTAAAGATCGACGTTCTCGTAATGCACCGAATAAAACATCTAAAACAGAGGTGGATGATGATGCACCAGATGATGATGCTTTAAGTGTTTGTTCAAATATTTCTGATGCAACAAGTATTTATGATGAAGTTGAAGGTAAAAGAAAAAAGAATGAAGAGGAATTATCTCAATTGATAGGTTTTATCATTTAGCTAGCGTTTCAACAGCAACTAGTGTGATTCTATCATCGGATAATCTTGATGAAAAACTTGATTCTGCAATTGAAGAACTTCGAAATAAAGAGTAAGATGAATTGATGTGAATTTTAGATAGAATCTGTCGGATCCGAAATTCTGGGACTCGGTCGAACCGCAATTTGACACTCTTAATGGAGGTTTTCTCAGCGAAAGTGGAATCACCACAAAGATACGAGATCCTTTTCTTCCGGTTTCTCTATTTGGTGACTAGCGCACTCTTCGTATTTCTTGTACGACTAGCGTTCATCGAGTTCGAAATTTTTGAATTCGGCCCCAACTCGACGAATTCTAGTCACGGAATGGATGAGTTTCTCTCAGCATTTTATTAGTATCTTCGTCAAAGTCCATGGCTTCGACTTGAATTTTTTACTAGAAGATTCTACGTTCAGTTATCTATAAATTCATTTAAAATGTATTAGCACAACAACTACCAAAGAAGCATCCTCAATTGAAGACTATAAAAACACGCACGTGTAATATTATCTTATCGTTTTTTATCCTCTTAATTGTCAGATGTGAAAGATACAAATAAATCTAATCATTTTTTCACAAGCTCTTGTGAATATTAAATTGAATTTTATTTGTATGCTTTCATAAGTACAGAATCAGGCTTTTTCTTATATAAAAATTTCGATTAATATTAGCGTCACTTTGAAATGATGTGTTGTCAAGCCTACGCTACAGTTTGATATGGAATTTAAATTGGGTGAAAATGAGTGAGATGAGAATATGAGTTGGTACGCCTAACAGTTTTCTTTGTCACGACTATTTTTGACTCCTGTACGGATAGTATATAAGCTAGCAGAGGAAGATTTCCTCTATCTAATGGTGTAGATATTATGGAATTCTATGTCATACCGCTGAAATGTTAATCGAGGGCGTCATCCATCCATCGACTTTCTAATATTTCGAAATAAAACTTCCTAAAACATACATCCTTAGCTAGAGGAATTGTTTTGCTGCAAATCTGTTTGTACTCCGTGCGTAGGTCAAAATCTTATAGGTACCTTGTGGCAGGAATGCATCGGTGTGCTTTTCAAACATCCTTAACTAACGATGACAAATATGACTACACGCATACGTAATGAGAATAGCATATAGAGCTAAAGGGTTACAAAATTCTTTTGATATATGTTTCTAGAGAATTGAACGGAGAATTTTCGTTAAAAAACTCCAGTTGAGATGATAGATATTGATGAAGATATCGAAAACATATTCAAGAGGCCCATTTTTTTCTGAGGTTCCATTTGAAAATAAAAATTTGATTAATTGTTTTTTCAAAAATTTTAGTTTAAAAACACGTGAACATGGTTTACACACACTTCAAGTTTTATTCTCACAAAAATATCTTCCAGATCAAGTTGCTGCTCGGTATATATTATATTTATATAAAAATATCAATTATTTTTTTGATTTTTGTAGAAGTGAAAATATAATTGAACAATTGATAGCATGTTTAAAAAAAGGAAGTGAATCCGAAGGAAAATTAGCAGCTATTGTTACTTCATTGTTTTGTATTCAACTTGGCGAACCTAATGATGATTTATATGTAAAATTTCGGGATGCAATTATGCCAACATTACGAGATGAAACTAAATCTTTATCATTAAGAACAAGTGTATGTTTATTTAATTTACAAAATAATATTTGTTTCTTTTTGGCTTTGTGTATAGTATGCTCAAGCAGTTGGTATAATTTGTTTTATTACTAGTGAAGATATATCCGTAAGAATAAATTAATACATGAATTGAAATATTGATTTGTATTTAACTTTACTTTAAGGCTACAGTTGATTTAATGAAATCATTAGAAATAATTTTTTCGAAATCATACTTACTTAATGATGGAACTACACCTATCTTAGCACGTGATCTTCCAGAATTACACACAGCAGCACTTTCGTCCTGGTGTCTTCTTTTATCAACAATGCCTAATAATTATGCTCATGATTTAATACGAATGTAAGTTAATTTGATTAGTGGAATAGGGAAGGTTCTCAAGTGATAAATCATTTTTAAGTTGGGACTGTATTCAATCAATAGGATTCAGTGAATAAGCAAATATTCTAGAGTGGTTAGAGCTACTGGATCCTTGTTGCTAGGATATCGAATTTTTAGTGGCTTGAAAATTGAAGCTTCACAGAAAAAAGTCTGCTAAGCATTCGAAAATTCAGCAGCTATAGCGATCTGAGAAGACTTACTCATTAGGCCCTATCGATTGAATATAGTTTCAACTTGAAAGCAATTGATCACTTAGGGACCTTTTCTCATGGACTGACCTAATATAAATTTTTCATGGTAGTTAAAAATACACTAAAAATATTGTCGTTTTCAAATATTTTTACATAAAAGTCGAACTTCCAATAGAGACCGTCGGGTTGGTTTCGATCCCGAATTCGTTGGGCTCTAACTTTGAATCAAGTTCATTAACTAACACAGAATTCAAACCATTTATTGCATGGACTGCTAAAATATTCTTGTTTTCGCCGTCTGATCTTTCGAAAAATAGACAAATCGCTATTATTGCTAGTTTCAAAACTTTTTGAAGTTAACTAATTATTGTCACGGATAGTTAAACTTGCGTGTTCATTTGAGAAATTCGAAGAATGATTCTTAGTTAGATTATGAGAAAAAATTCAGAGGTTTTTAAATATCTTGACTTATCACAGGAAGTAATCAAGTTTTTTTTTAGTAATTTCAATCATGTGAGATAGTCTTATTACTGAAAAGACGAGAAACGTATATAGCACAAATCTTCAAAAACTAAAGAACAGAAATACTCTACAAACTCCAGCAATTAAACCCGAAAAACTTCACTAGATATTTTTCCAAAATGAAAGTAGGAAGGAGTCCTTGCTCGGTAGTTGCGTCACTTCTCAGTTTAATTTTTATATTCTAAATTTTACAATCTGTTTAGTTATGCACCAGAAAAAATTCCTGGACTTATTGAATCAAGTGATGCTGATTTACGTAATCAAGCTGGTGAAACAATTGCTGTTTTATATGAAATAGCACGAGATATTGATAGTGTATGTAAACTGAAAAACAATGAGAAACAATTTCTAATATTTTATTTAGATTTTTGCTGAGCCGCCTGAATCATTATTAATAACATTAGATAAAAAAGCCAATGACAGTGTAAAATATAAAGGAAAAAAAGAAAAACGTTTACAACGTGCTACTTTTCGTGAAATATATAATTCATTCGAAGTATCAAGAAAAGCTTTTATTTATTTTTTTTAATAAAATTTGACATTTCTTTTTTGAATAGGAAGGTAGATCACCTGAATTTACGATTAAATTTGGTCGAGAAGTATTAGAAATACAATCATGGACAGGACGACTTTATTATAATGGTTTTAGTAATTTATTAGGCGCTGGTATGAATGTGCACTTAAAAGAAAATGGATTTCTCCGTTCAGTTTTTAATTTGGATGATGTTGCAGTTGAAGAAGGTCAAAAAGCGAAAGGCAATCGATTCGAACGAGTATGTTTTTTTAGCAATGATTAAAGAGCCCTACCGGACTAGATTATCATCCTTCACTTGAAAAGCCATCTATATCATTTTGTAGAACAATACATGTCGCATCAAATGGTATATAGGCAACTAGTTTTTTCGTCAATTTTTAATGTTTTGAGAAGTCATACAACAGATGAAGAATATTACAGCAGTTGTAAGTGATACGACCAAATATTAGAACTCAGTATGTCTACGCATAATAGCTTACTGCGTACTGGGGACTGACATTTTGACCAACTTCTATAATTTCTGGATTTTATGATATTTTGAATTTCTCTTTACTATTCCTGAAAACAAAGGCGATCAACCGTCGACAACAAAACAGTCCAATCAATTTCTAAATGAAGCTAGTTTATCAATTCGAAAGGACAAAAAAATAGCTGAATTTTCCGATACTTTTGAGTAAAAAACTTTCTATTCATTAATAAAAAGTTCATCATGCCCTATCACGTGACATATATTAATGACTCAAAAATGGGAAAAAAATTTCGTTCGAATCTCTCGAAGGTGTAAGGAAATGATTTATCATAAAAATTAGTTTTAATTCTATTTTGTTCCTTACTATTTTAAATTTCGTGTAGCCGAATGTGGTGAGAGAATTGAGTTCTATTAGATTTAATTTATATTCGGACTTTTATGAGAACGAAAAATTTTGCATATTCTTGAAGACCGTCAGAGATCTGACAGCGAAGAAATTGCTTGCCATTGTGGAAAGATCTACATATGTCAAATCATAGAGCATAATGAACTTATTATTAATAAAAAGAAATTTTCATACACAATTTCTAAGAAAGTTACACGGATGATCGCCTTTAGAAGCATTAGAGAAGAGTATAAAACATCATACAAGTCAAGAATTATAGAAGGCCATAAAAATACTAAGGTTTTGAGTAGCACAAAGGCTATCGTGAGTACTATTAGACATATACAATTGAAAACGAGATAGATCTCTATTGTAACAACTGTAAACAATAATTTGACGTAGATTTCTTTGAAGACTGAGTCAAATGTTTGGTCATATCACCCGCAA